TTTCCCTCTCCCTACTTTCTCTCTAAAAAATAACAACAAACTATTCTTTTTTAAAAGATGGACAAATTACTTAAATATACATTTCTCCAAAGAAATATACAAATGGCCAGTAACCATATGAAAATATGATTAGCATCACTAAACATTAGGAAAATGCATATCAAAATTACAATGACATCCACCTAACACCCATTAAGAGGACTACTTAAAAACAACAACAAAAAACAAACAAACAACAACAAAAAAACACACAGCCCTAGCTGGTTTGGCTCAGTGGATAGAGCATCGGCCTGTGGTTGGAAGGTTACCGGTTCGATTCCAGTCAAGGGAACATGCCTGGGCTATGGGCTCAATCCCCAGTAGGGGGCGTGCAGAAGGCAGCCAATCAATGATTCTCACTCATCATTGATGTTTCTCTCTTTCTCTCCCTCTCCCTTTCTCTCTGAAATAAAAATATATTTTTACAAAATTTATTTTAAAAAACAACACAGAAAACAACTGCTGGTGAGGATGTAGAGAAATTGAAACCCTTGTGCACTTCTGTTGGAATGTAAGATGGTACAGCTACTGTGGAAAACAGTATGGAGATTCCTCAAAAAATTAAAATAGAATTACCATTTTGCCCAGCAATTCTACTTCTGAATATACACCCAAAAGAGTTGGAAGCAGTGTCTGAAAAGAGATTTTTGCCCATCAATGTTCATAGCAGCATTATTCACAATAGCCAAAAAGTGAAAGCAACCCAAGTGTTCATCAACAGATGAACGGATAAAGGAAATGTGGCTTCTACCTGTAATAGTACGCAACTAATACAGCATTGATATATGTAAAGCAAAACTGATAGAACTGCAAGGAGAAATAGATGAATTCACTATTATAGTTGGAGACTTCATCACCCTTCTGTCAGTAATGGACAGATATAGCAGGCAGAAAGTCAGTAAGGCTATAGTTGAACTCAATAGCACCATTAGTTAACTGGATATAATTGATATCTATAGAATACTTCATTCAACAATATAATAATACACATTCTTCTCAAGCTCACATGGGACATTCACCAAGATGAATGTTCATCTAAATCAGTGGTTCTCAACCTTCTGGCCATTTAAATACAGTTCCTCATGTTGTGACCCAACCATAAAATTATTTCCATTGCTACTTCATAACCATAATGTTGTTACTGTTGTGAATCGTAATGTAAATATCTGATATGCAGGATGGTCTTAGGCAACCCCTGTCGTTTGACCGCCAAAGGGGTCGTGACCCACAGGTTGAGAACTGCTGAATCATCTAAGTTTCCATCGTTGGAAACTAAAAATACATGATAAATTAAATCCAAGTAAGCAGGAGAAAAGGAAATAATAAAAATTGGAGCAAAAATCAATAAAATTGAAAACAAATCAACAGAGAAAATGAATGAAATCAAAAGCTGGTTCTTAGAAAAGATCAGTAAGCCTCTAGCCAGCCTAACAAAGAAAAGATGAGAGAAGACACAAATCACTAATATCAGAAATAAAAAAGAATCAATACAGATCCCAATGACATGAAAAGGATAATAAAAGAATACTATGAACAACTCTATGCCCACATGTCGTCTAGATGAAATGGGCCAACTCCTTGAAAGACACAATCTGACAAAACTCATACAATCTGAATAGCCCTATGTATCTAGTAAAGAAGTTGAATCAATAAAAAGTAACCTTTGAAAACAGAAAGCACCAGGCCCAGACAGGTTCACTAGTGAATTCTCCATACCATGGAATATTATTTCAATCTTTTAAAAAAAGGAAATTCCGACACATACTACAACATAGATGAACTTTGAAGACATTATACTAAGTGAAACAAGCCAGTCACAAAACGATAAACATTGATCCCATTTATGTGGGGTATCTAGAATAGTCAAAATCATAGAGACAAAGACGAATGGTAGTTGCCAGGGGCTGGGGGAGAAGGGGAATGGGGAATTATTGTTTAATGGGTATAGAGTTTCAGTTTTGCAAGATGAAAATGTTCTGGAAATCTGTTGCAAAACAATGTGAATATGCTTAGCACTACTGAACTTTACACTTGAAAAAGTTAAAGTGGTAAATTTTGTGTTATCTGTGTTTTGTCACGATTTAAAATAAATAAAACACAGTGATACCTGGGGCAAAGCTGTGCAGTTATAAGATTTCTAAGTCCTGACCAGGTCAGAACAGGCCCTTGAGAACCAACCATAACGATAGCACCCCATACCCATCCACACACTCCATTTCCAGCCTACAATGTATCTGCTGGGACTCACAGCAAATGCAGCAAGCTGGAAAAACAGGCCTTATTCTGTCTACCGAGGGGACAGAAAGGTGAAGGGACATGCCCAGGTCACTCTTGATAGGAGCAGTACCCCATCCTTTTTTAAATATATATATAATATATATTTATTGATTTCAGAGAGAAAGAAAAAGGGATATAGAGAGATAGAAACATCAATGATGAGAATCATCAATCTGCTGCCTCCTGTACACCCCCAACTGGGGACTGAGCCCACAACCCAGGCATGTGCCCTGACTGGAAATTGAACCGGGACCTCTTGGTTCATAAGTCAATGCTCAACGACTAAGCCACACTGACCTGGCCGTGCCCCATTCTTTAGACTGCAAGGCAAGTGCTCTCCCGCCGCTGTAGGGGCTTGTTAAAAGCCCAGATTCTTGCCCTGGCCCAGAAGCTCAGTTGGTTGGAGCATTGCTCATACACAAAAAGGTTGCAGGTTCAGTTCCGGGTCAGGGCACATAGCTAGATTTCGGGTTTGATCCCAGTTGGGGTGTGTACCGATAAATATTTCAATCTCTCTCTCTCTCTTCCTCTCTCTCTAAAAATCAATAAAAAGATATCCTCAGGGAGGATTTTTTAAAAACAGCCCAGATTCTCCATCTGAGTCATCTGGCTCTGCCACTTACAGCTGTAAGGGCTCAGGCAAATTTCCCAGCCTCTATGCCTCCTGCAAAATGGGATAATAACAGGCTGTGGGGTCACTGTGTTTCATAAAGCACTTAAAACAGCCTTGCATGTGGAATGACTCTGCCAATGTAAGCTATTACAGTGCCTCAGGAGTTAGTTTTTGTTTTTCTCTGAAGATCTTAAGGGACAAAGCTACTCCCAGCAATTCAAAAGGAAATTGCTTTCTTCTTTTTTTTTATAACTTATTGATTTTTTACAGAGAGGAAGGGAGAGAGACAGAGAGTTAGAAACATCGATGAGAGAGAAACATCGATCAGCTGCCTCCTGCACATCTCCTACTGGGGATGTGCCCGCAACCCAGGTACATGCCCTTGACCGGAATCGAACCTGGGACCTTTCAGTCCGCAGGCCGATGCTCCATCCACTGAGCCAAACTGGCTTCAGCGGAAATTGCTTTCTTAAAGGCTTTCTAGCTCTGGGGTCCCACACAACCTTCTACCAAAGCTTTGAAAGCCCAGGACAGGCAGGAGAGGCTCTGGTGCTAGATTCTTCCCAGCTCATTCCGTGACTTCTGACTCTTGTCCTTGGTGCCCTGAGGAGCTGAGCTGGGACTACAAGCCCAGGAAGCAGTCTGTTGCAGGAGAGTGACCTACATTCTTCTTGCCAGTCCTGTGGGTTCTGACTATCACAGCTGAGCTGACGCAGCCAAGGGCCCAGCTTCCCCAGTGCACTGAGGACCGTCCCCAAGACCACACAGACCATGGAAGGCAGGTATGTCCCTGCCAGATCCCAGGCAGCCACAGAGCTGAGCTCAGGTCCACCTGTGTCAGTGATCCAGGGTGCTTGATTGGTAGCAGGAGAAGCTAACAACTACACAGGACTCACCGAGTCTGGAGAGGACATAGCCAGGTCACAGCAGCATTGCTTCCACCCATAGTTCCAGGAGCTGTGCTTTTTGGGCCAAGAGTTATCTAGATGGCATCTCTGCAGAGTGTCCCATATCAGGACTTCTCTGCAAATGAGATGAAAATTGCTGCTCCAGGAAGGGAGCATCTGAGTGTCTCCTGAGACCAGAATTGTTTAAGTCTCAGGTGCCCAAGTGCCTGTCTACCCACTGACCAGAACAACTGTGCCCAGCTATCCCTTACCCTCATTGCTGGAGCTGTGCATCTCCCTGCAGTAAAGATCAGGTGCAGGCCTGCATGTGCCACATTACTGTGGGGGCCTGGTCCTCGCTGCTGGAGAACTTAGAGGAGCCAAGTGGATGAGGGGACTCCTCTCTTTGCTTTCACCCCACCTGGCTCTGGAACACCTGCTTTTAATGTGGCCAAAGAGAGGCCTGTGATTTGCTTGTCAGGGTTAGGACATATCACTAAATGTCAAAGTTGGAAGGCTCCAAAGACCTTCTGTGCCCAAGCTTCCCTATGAACAATGAAGACACCAGGGACCGCAGCAGGGCAGGGCTTGCTGAAATTCACAGACTGGCCCCATTCAAACTCCAAGGGAGTTCAAGTCCTAGAACTCCCACGCCCCCTTCAGGTAGGTGAGGTTGGCCTGCCTTCTGTCAGCTCTATGCCTCCTCCCCTACCAGCTCAGAAGGGCATTGAAGACGTGGCCCCTCAGAGGAGAAAGCCCATTGCTGGGCAAAGAGCTGGGGAGGCATCTCTACTGGTGCAACCACACAGGCCTCCTTTCCCAGAATTATTAGCAACATCTCCCCGCCCCAGCACACACCAAAGTGATCCGCAAGCAGGCAGTGACCCCAGTGTGAGTGCGCCCAACAAGTCACCTTTGATGGGGTGAGAGAGCGGGCATCTTGGCCTCTCACTCCAGGACCTCTGATTTTGCATTCAGACTCTTCTTTTTTTAATTGTGGTAAAATACACATAACATGAAATTTACCATTTTAATAATTTTTAGACATACAATTCAATGGCATTAAGTACAGTCACTATATTGTGCATATATCTCTACTTTTCATCTTTCCAAACTAAAACTCCATGCCCATTAAACAACATCCACTGTTCTGCTTTCTGGCTCTATGAATCTGACTTCTCTATTTCATATAAGTGGAATCATACAGTATTTGGTCTTCTATGACTGGCTTATTTCACTTAGGATAATGTCCTCAGTGTTGCAGCATGTCAGAGTTTTCTGCCCTTTTAAGGCTGAATAATATTCCATTATATGAATAGGCCACATTTTTTTTTATCCATTCATCTGTCAATAAACTCTTGGTTTGCTTCCACCTTTTGTCTATTGTGAATAATGCTGCTATGAATATGGGTATACAAACATCTCGTTGAGTCCCTGCTTTCACTTCTTTTGGGTGTATACCTAGAAGTGGAATTGCTGGCTATCCAAGACTCTTCCTGCCTGTAATTGCACCTGCAAAGAGCACACTGGGTCAACAGCCAGAACCACTAGCAATGGGCTCTGCCCACGATCATTCTTCGTCCCTCCAAGCACACTCCTGGACAAATGTGGGAGCTTGTCAGGTCCTATTCATGCCCTCTGAAATCAAGTACAAGCTGTGCCAAACTAGGCTCGCCCTCCCCTCGGGATATGCCTGCGATCTCCTAGGGCAGTGGGCAGTGGGAAAGTAATGCCCTGGGAGTCGGGAGCCCTGAGTTCCCATGGGGTTTGTCGTGATGGGTCCCTACTTCCTTCCCCTCTGGACTCTGCTCCCCTCAAGGATAAAATAATTGTTGGAGTGGGTGCCTGCTGAAGCCCTGCCAGCACTGCAATTCCATGATTCCAAGCAGCAACAACAATGCATCTCTCTTGAAGAACCATGAACAAACCCTGACAGACAGACTACTGGCAGTAGGGGACATGTAGAAGGTACTGCCAGCTGCAGCCTTGCACAGTCTGAGTCCCTGGGCCTGCTCCATGTGCCCAACCTCAGACCTCCAGCACAGATAGTCGGTCCTTGCCTTTGAGTGTGGTATGCTAGCTAAAGCCCTGGACTTGGAGCGCCCCTCCCTGACCCTTCTCCTTCTCATCCCCCAATTAGGGTACTGAGGCAGCACCAGGGACCATTTCTCCCAGGTGCAGCTCAGACCCCACCTCATGGAGGCTATGGTTAGAACCTAGACCAGGGAATGCATACCTTCAAGGTCTGCTCGTTCTGGTGCATGAGGTAGGCCAAGATGGCCGCGCAGCTGCGACTGATACCCAGGGTGGAAAATATCAGGATGACATTGCCAAGTTCAAGGTGGACATCTGCAAGAGAAAGGAAGGTTGGGGCGGAAGGGATGCCCCTTCCCTGTAGACCTGAGTTGATGTAAGATGACTAGCCTTAGTGGGTCCAAGAGTGGATTCAGAGCCAGTACACCATGTCCTAGGTAAGTCACATGACATCACTAGGCCACTGTTTTGTCACCTGGTAAATGGGGATTCTCAGATCTAGCTGGCAATTCAAGAGACTCACACCTGGGCATCAGCATTATCATGCAAAGGCCTTTTCTTGGCTCTCCAGGCTTTCAGACCAGGAAGGTCTGCTACGAGTTGGCCTCCTTAGGTAGGAATGAGAGGATCGTCCCTCCAAGGGCACATGGTACTGACGGAGACAGTGTTGCTGGTGTAAAGCCTGGCTCTGCCACTCACTGTTGTGGGGCTTGGGCATGTTACTCTTAGCTACAGTTTCCTCATCTGGAAAATGGGATAATAGTATTCTGCCTACCTCATAAAGTTCTGTGCTGTGCTTAGCCCAGTGCCTGGCACAGAAATGTCAGCTGTAAGCATGCCCAGTGAGGGATGGTGAGGAAATCTAAGCTGTCATCCTAGGCTGGTTTGGTAACCCCCAAGAACTGAAGATAACCATTCCTGTGCTGGAGCAGGACTCAGAGATGATTAAGGCCAACTGATTCATCATACAAATAAGGAAACTGAGGCACCAAGCAGTTAAGGACTGGCCCACGGCCACCCAGTAAGTCAGGGCTGGAGAGGGGGCCTCTGTGCCATAGAGCTCCACCATCCCATGGGACATGTGGCAAGTCTGTCTCAGCTACTACTTAAGTGATAGTTGCAACATCCTGTGAAAATAAGAGATGTTTGAGCCAAAATACCATCCTCTGCCCCCCTGTGCAGCGACTCAGGCTGGGGGCTGAGTTGGTGCCACGTAGGTAGTCCTGGCGAGGGGCCTCTGACCTGACTCAACCTCACTCACTCCAAGTATCTTACTCAACTAGGGCAATCCTGAGCCTGGGAATGACTGAAAAATCTGCCTTCAATGAGGTAAGCCACTGTTGGGCACTGCTGTGTGTGGTGAGAGGACAGAGGGGCACTGGGCATACACAATGAAAATCAGGGAAGTCAGAAGCTCTGGAGCCTTCCTTCCACCTCATCTCGATAACCAGACAAAAGGGCAGGAACAAGTCACCTCTGAGTCACCAGAGCACTGCCCAGAGCAGGTCTCCATGAACATATGCACTCATGGTGGGGCCACACCCTCATTTCAGTGAAGCCAGGCCTAAAAGGGCCTACCAGTCCAGCAAAGGCCACAACATAGGGTATTCGATCCAGTCAGGAGCTCTTATTTGGCCCTACTGCCCTGGAGGTAAACACGGGCCTGTGTGTATTGCTGATGGCCCTGGAGAAGCACGCTTGTCTTGGGGTTGTCCACACCTGGTTGGGCATGTGCTGCCCTTTCTCTCCTGAGCACTGAGAGTCCCAATCAGGAATAGGCATGTGGACGAGGTGCCACAGTCCCTGTGCCCCCTGGACATAGGCCAGTTGCTGCCTCATTAGAGAATGCTCCCTACCAATGAAGTGACAGAGGTGGCGCAGAAAGGGGAAAATGAAGGCTTCCAGGGAGTCTTCTATCTGGATGTGCAGAAGCTTGTCAGCGTTACCTACAAAACTAAACAGAAGAAAAGCACAAGTAATTGGGCAGGCTCACAGACAGTCCCACTGTGGTGTCCCTTGTTCATAGCAGCAGGACCATAAGCTAGATCAGAGAAATGTGGGCAAGGACCTGAACCCCTGTCAGAAAAATAGCTCCTACCTCATAGGAGTGGAGTATGGATTAAGTTAATTAATCTATATAAAGCAGTGATGGCGAAGCTTTTGAGCTCAGCGTGTCAGCATTTTGAAAAACCCTAACTTAACTCTGGTGCCGTGTCACATATAGAAATTTTTTGATATTTGCTACCATAGTAAAACAAAGACTTATATTTTTTATATTTATTTTATATATTTAATGCCATTTAACAAAGAAAAATCAACCAGAACCATGAGTTCGTGTGTCACCTCTGATCGTGTGTCATAGGTTCACCATCACTGATATAAAGCATTTAGCAATCTGCTTGGCAATAGTAAGTGCTCAGTAAATATGGCATTATTATTATTATTAACCAAACATGGTACTTTCCTAGAATATGCTACAAATAATAACATGAGGATGGGAGGAAATATGTCGTGATTTTGGAGAATGAGCCTGCTATGTTAAATGGAGAAAATAAGGTAAGGGGATAGAGAATAGCGGGGTTGCTGTTTGAGATAGGGTGGTCAGGGAAGGCTTTACTGAGGAGGTGACACTTGAGCAGAGGCTTAAAGGAGGTGAGAGAACAAGCCAGGCAGTTATCTGAGGAAAGTGTGTTCCAGGTATAGGAGAATGGAAGTGCAAAACCCCTGATAGTATGTTTAGTGTATTTGAGAAACAACAGGGAGGTCAGAGTAGCTAGAGTTTTATGAACATGGTGGAGGAGAGATGAGATGTGTGACATGCTTAATGAGAGTGTGCCTGCAAGGAGCCTGGCCCTATGCCCTAAATGCTGTAAGCACTTTATAACGTTGTTTATGAAGACTATGGCCTACTGGTGACATTCAGTATGCAGACCACTGTGGCATGCAGAAAGTTCAGTAGATTCAGAAACAAAAATAGGCTGGTTTAATTTCTGTATGAGCACTTGCTGTGACAAATACAAGCACAACGAACCATCCATCCATCCATCCATCCATCCATCCATCTTTCCCTCTCCATCCATCCCTCTCTCCCTCCCTCCCTCTCCACCCACCAACCCATGCCCACCCAACCGTTCTTCCCTCACAGACACTCACTCAGTGCCTACTGTGTGCAAGACCTTGGGCTGGACCCTAGTGGACACAAATATCAAATAGGGCCCCTCCCAGCTTCAAGGAGCTTCCAGTCTAATGGGGGAGGCAGACACATAAACAAATGGCACCACTCCAATTAGTTAGATGCTAGGATAAAGACCTGCACATGAAATGGGGGATATTTGCAATAGTGTCAACAATAAAACATTTTTAAAAGACCTGCACATGATACTTGAGAGGAGGAATAGGGAGGAGTCAAGGGAGCTGGGGAGAGTTTACAGTGGAGATGGCATCTGGGTGGAGAAGGTTGAAGAATACATGGCTAATATATAAAAATCAATTGGTGCACTAGCCGGCGTGGCTCAGTGGATAGTGTCAGCCTGCAGACTGAAGGATCACAGGCTTGATTCAGGTCAAGGGCATATGCCTTGGTTGTGGGTTAAATCCCCAGTGGGGGCATGCAGGAGGCAGCCAATCAATGATTCTCTCTCATCATTGATGTTTCTATCTCTCTCCCTCTCCCTTCCTCTCTGAAATCAATAAAAATATATTTTTTTAAAATCAATTGGATTTCTTTGTACTAGCAAGAAATAATTAGATATTGAAAATCTTAAAATATCACTTGTAATCACATAAAACTTCAAATGCTTAGGATGAAATCTTGACACAAAATGTGCAAGAACTGTACACTGAAAACTATAAAATATTTCTGAGAGAAGTTAAAGCACAAAGTAAATGGAGAAATAGACCATGCTCATGGATCAAGAGATTCAACACTGTTAAGATGTCAGTTCAATCCCAATCAAAATTCTAGCAAGCTTATTTGTAGAAACTGACAAGCTGATTATGAAATTTACAGGGAAATGCAAAGAAAACAACTTTGAAAAAGTACAAGATTAGAGGACCTACCCTACTTGGTTTCAAGATTTATTATAAAACTACAGTAATCAGCAGTGTAGAACTGGTGTAAAGAAAGACATATACCACCCGGCTCAGTGGTTGATCATCTACCCATGTACCAGGAGGTCATGGTTCAATTTCTGGTCAGGGCACATGGTTTGGTTGCATGTATGTAATCAATCCCCAGTGTGGGGCGTGCAGGAGGCAGCCAATCAATGATTCTCATCGTTGATGTTTCTATCTCTCTATCCCTCTCCCTTTCTCTCTGATAAAAAGAAAGAAAGAAACATATACCAATGAAAAATAATCCAGAATTTTTAATCTTGACAAGGATTTTCAATAAAGGTATCAAAGCAATTCAACAGGAAAAGGATCGTATTTTCAACAAATGATTATATTATCTCCACATGCAAAACAACAAATGTTCCATTTCTGGCACCATACACAAAAATTATTTCAAAATAAAAACATGTGAAGGTTAAATCCATAAACTTTTAGGAAAAAATATGGAAGAAAATCCATGTCAAAATTCAAGTGCCCAGTCTTAGCCTGTTTGCTCAGTGGTTAGAGCGTTGCCCAGGGACTAAACAGTCACCAGTTCAATTCCGGCTCTGGACAGGGTGCATGCAGGAGGCAACTGGTCGATGTGTCTCTCTCACATCAATGTTTCTCTCTCTCTCTCTCTTTAAAATACATTTTTATTGATTTCAGAGGAAGGGAGAAAGAGAGAGACAAACATCAATGATGACAGAGAATGCCCCCCACTGGGGATCTAGCCCGTAACCTAGGCATGTGCTCTTGACCAGAATCGAACCCGGGACCCTTCAGTCCGCAGTCCAATGCTCTATCCACTGAACAAAACCAGCTAGGACCTCCCTCCCACTCTCTCTAAAAATCAATAGAAAAAATATCCTTGGGTGAGGATTAACAAAAATAAATTTTAAAAAACCTCATATATGCATTGGTCTGTTTGAACTCTATTCTGCTCCATTAGTTTATTTTTCTATCCTGCACCAATATCACCATCCTTACTTGCTGTTGTTTTTAAGTCTTAACGTTTAGTCAAGTAAATTTTCTCATTTGTTGTTCTTCAAATATTCAGCTATTTTTGCTCTTCACATTTCCATAAAATTTATAAATTTTAGGATTACTGTATCAATTTCCACAAACATGTTGGATTCTACTGGCATTACCCTGAACTGACAGGTCATTTGGGCAAGAATCAATTATCTTTACAAAATTAATTCTTCTAATCCATAACAACAGTATATCCTCTGTTTATTCAGACAATCCTATATAATAAAGAGAATAAAGAGCTAATATGCAATGGTCGCCGTGCCCTCACTCCCTTGCGCCAGGGCCAGGGGACCTGAGGCCATGGCCCGCACCCGGCGGGGCTTGATTTATCTGCAGGTTGTTTTGGATTTTCTGTGTATACAATTATATTGTCTGTGAATAATGAAAGTTTTTTCCCTTTTGATTCATATTTTATTTTTCTTGCCATATTTCACCAACGAGGACCTCCAGTACAATGTTAAATAGGAGTGGTGATAGTGGCATTTTTGTCTTGTTCCAGACTCAGAGGAAAACTTTCAACATTTCACCATTAAGTGTGATGTTTGTTGCAGAGATTTTTGTAGTTATTTTATTAGAGCAAAGAACTTTTCCTTCTATTCCCAGTTTGCTAAGAGTTTTTTTTAAGTCATGAATGTATAGTGAATATTATCAAAGGCTTTCACTGAAGCTGTTGAGATAATCCTGATTTTTGCTCTATTTATTGATATGGTAAATTAACATCTTTGGAATAAACTCAATTTAGTCATTATGTATTATCCTTTTTATAAGGATATAATGTGCTAAGATTTTGTTTAGGATTTTTACATCTACGTTCATGAAGAAAATTAGTCTATAAATTTTCTGTATTATAATGTCTGTCAAGTTATAAAATCAGAGCTATGTTGGTCTCATCAAACAAATTGAAAATTATTCCTCTTCTTTATTATATAAAATAATTTAATATTGACTTTATTTCCTCCTTAACTATTAGGTAAAATTCATCACTAAAGTTTTCTCTATGAGAAAATTTTTATTAATTATTAATACTAATCAATTTTTCTATTTTGTCTGCTGTCAGTTTTGATACTGTATTTTTTACTGTTCATTTCATCTAAATTTTCTTGTTTATCACAATAAAGTTTTCCTAATATCCTCCTAAGACCTGTTAAATATCTGTAGGATATGTAGAGTCCCCTTTTACAAATGGTTATTTGTGCCTTTTCTCTTTTTTGCCAAGGGTTTATCAAAGTTATTAGTTTTTTCAAAAAAACTATTTTGACTTTCTTGATCATCTCTATTTTATTGTTTCTAGTTCAATTATCTTCTTTTATTACTCCTTCTTTCTTCTTTATTTGGGATTAGTTTACTATTCCTTTGGGAATTTCTTGAGATGAATACTTAATTAGTTGATTCTTTATATTTACAATAGATTTTTGTTGTTGTTGTTGTTAATCCTCACCCGAGGATATTTTACTATTGACTTTTTAAAGAGAGAATGGAGAGACTGAGAGAAACATCGATATGAGAGACACACATCGATTGGTTGTCTCCTGCATGCGCTCCAAGCAGGCCCAGGGATCATGCCTGCAACTTAGGTATGTGCCCTTGATCAGAATCGAACCCAGAACCCTTTAGTCCACAGGCCAATGCTCTATCCACTGAGCTAAACCAACCAGGGCTAAAGTATATTGTAGACAGCCTACAACCTCTGCCTTTTAATTAAAATATTTAGACCATTTGTACTTAGTGTGATTACTGAATTTTTATATGACTCCATTTATCTCTTTTGTTATCTTACTAATCATATCTCTTTTATGTTTGTTTTGTTCTATTTGTTGGTGGTTGCTTTAGAGTGTATAGAATGCATCTTTAACTTACTATAGTCTACCTTCAATTAACATTATACCACTTCATGTACCGTATTTGCCGGCGTATAAGACGATTTTTTGGCCCTGAAAAATATGCCTCCAAGTGGGGGGTCGTCTTATACGCCAGGTACACTTCAGATAGACTGCCCATAGTGCTTGCCCCGTGCCATAGTGGCCTCCCGATGCCCGCCCACTTCATTCCACATACCGTTCAGGCATCAGCAGCGCTGCTGGGTGTATG